GCTGTTTGAGCCTGTTAACTCCTGACCTTGCCCACTGTACAGTAGTGTCATTCATGCCTTCAGCCTACCCATCTCCACAAACAGTAATTTAGCTCCAGGATGTCTCCCCAAGACCAGTTAATTTTAACCAACCCCAAGAAATAAAATTATTTTGGCCCCTAAGATTCTTCCCACTTACAAGTTTTTCTCTTGGACAACTTATTTTTCCAGTACATCAAACTGAGCAGGTATCAAGTGATGTCTGAAAGTTTTGTTGGGGAACCCCTGCACTTGCACAGCTGGGCAGGACTTGAGGGTCTGTCCGTGCTGAGCCTGTTGCAAATATGATGCCTCTCTCCAATGGAGTTGGGAAAAGCCCCCAGTCTCCTGATTTACAGACCTGTGGTTTGGCCATTTGACCGTGATTGTTTGTTGACACCAAAAAAATGTTATTTTAAGCAGGGATGACTTAACAGACATGTCTCAGTGGAGTCAGTGCACCAACTGCTTGCACGCAGAGCTGGTTTAAAAATGTCCTGCTTCGCTTTTCTGAAGGTTCATCTCTCTCCTTGGGCTTCTGTTGGTTTTTCCTCTTGCTCAGTCTCTGGGAAACAGTTTATTTTCTGTCTTAACCTAGTCATCCAGACTCCACTGACATGCCTTGTATCTGATTTGAACTCATTTATGCAAAGGCAGATAAAATCACCTATTTTTACTCATCTCAGCCCAGCAGTTCTAGCACCAGTCTGGGGCAAGTCCCTGCAGTACTACAATAGGAAAGATCCGTGGCTAATGCACTGCTCAGGATGATCTTTTTGCTCAGTGGGGCTTTCTTATTGAATGAAACTCTGGAGTGGCAGAGTTTAAAATGACTGTAGGAGGCAGGTAGAGATTTTCAAGTAACATATTCCATGTCACTTTGCTAAACCTTGATTGACTAACTTTCATAAACCTTGACTAATGAACTTTTCACAAATGTACTGCCAGTGCTTGATCTTCTGCTTGGGAGAAATCTCCACTTCCCTCTCTTTCTGCATCAAAACGTAGTATTAAGTTTGCTTTGGAGGCAATAAGGAACCACCTAGGAATGAAAAATTGGACTCCAGTCTGAAAGCCTATCCCTTTCTTGCTTTGGAGACAATGTGGAGTGGCATTTTAAAGGTGTTGATTCTTCTTAATAATCCCCATTAACAAGAAATCACTTACTGCTGATACTGATCTAAACTGATGTCAGTGAGATGAATTAGGAGCAGGGGACTAGAGAGAGCGCCTTGTTGATCTGTTGTTTTCCTGCTGGGCTTCTCAGGAACACTGAAACTTTTCACTAATTCCCACCTGGACCATATCTCCTCATTTTCTGACTCCAGTGAATAACTTTGGATGTGAAAACTCCTTGAACTGAAGGAATAAAATTCTGGCCACAAAAGCACTTTAGGAACTGCATGGGTGTTATTTGGGAAAAACAATTACTTCAGTTCCTACAAAACTGGTAATGGCAAGGGATTTGATATCAGTCCCTTACAGCTGACAACTTGTTCCTGTACAAATTGTGTAAATTCCAAATAGTTTGTACAAACCTACCATATGCAGTTTGTCTCAAGAAGACAAGTGGTGCTGAGCTGCACTTGCCCTGTTACCTTCAGGTAGAGCTGGGGCACTGAATTCTCTGAAAAAAAGCTGTGCTGAAACAGAGAAATGAATGCCAGTGCCAGGCTGTGTAATCCCCAAAAAATCTGAGGAAAGAGTGAGATCAAATCCAAGTGCAAATCTTTATTAAAAGCTCTTTTCTACACCCCTTAATATGCCCCCAAACACTGAGAGGATCTCTGATTTCAGGTTCCCTGGGGAAACGCCAGTATCCTGCAGTTTCCTCTGGAATAACCTTTTCCAAGCACAGGCTTTTCATGTTGCTCTAGAGCTGTGAATCACTTCAGGCTCAGACAGAGGAACGTGCCAGGTCTGATGCATTCAGTTTTTCTAAGCCATTGAGAGGACTGGACTCAGGAGAGCACATCACCGTGCTGTGGTGTTTGCCAACAGCCCTGGTGCCTTTGGAAATCCTGGGCAGACCCTGTACCCCCACCTGACCCTGTTGGCTGTTCTTGCTGCTGAGCTGCAGCTACAGGTGAGGCAGACCTGGAGAGCAGGGATAGTAGCAATGTGTTTCTGTGAGGACAGTGAGCCCCCCTTGGCCGAAATCAGTGTGCTGGGAGTTAATTCCTACTGTATCTCTCTCGTACTTCCCGTTAATCCAGCTATGGAAGGTCTTTAACCGTCACTGCTGGTGCCCCTGCCAGAGCTGGGCTGCCTCGGCCTCAGCCAGCTGTGCTTGTGTCCTCTCCCTAAATCGCTTTCTGAACTGGCTCCAAGGCTCCAGCTGCTGTTCCAAGCCCTCATGTCTTATCCTGCCGTGCATCTGCTCGTGATGCAATTCCCCCGGGAGTAGGGAAGCATGGGGGGGGAGCGTGTGAGCAGCAGTGTGGGCAGGAGCTGTACGTTCATCCCCACTGAGAAGGAGAACAGGGCAGTCCTGAAAATCAGTCCCAAACCTGATGCCCAGAACAACCCCTGCAGAGCAGGAAAAGTCCCACTGGACACTCGGATTCTCTGATAGCTGTAGCTCTGAGATACCACGGGAGGAAAATAAACAGGCTCGAAGAAAATGAGGGATCTGAGGAAGGGAAAGGATGCTGGGAATATGTGGAGAAGGGTGCTGTGCTGATGTGAGGAGTTACTTTTTCCTGTGGCTTTTCCTGAAGCTTCACTGCAGTCTATCTTGGTTGAACACTTAATGAAGGGCCCTACTCAGGGCCAGCTTCTGAATGCAGTGGTTCCAGTTTAATGCCTTCTGCCGTGTTAACTCAGGACTTGTCCTGCCTTCTGAGGGTTCCCTGTGTGGTCTGATCTCGGCCAAGCTCTGCAGTGGCAGAATTCAACTGTCAGTGACACAGGGGGCATGGAGTGGGAGGGCAGCATTGTTCCCATTTTACAGATCAGGCAAACTGAGGCACCAAACTGTCACTCCCTCCACATCATTCAGCAGTGGCAGAGTTTAAACCCAGCTTTCTCCTGCCCCCTTGCATGTATTTTCTGTCTAACCGCTGCCTCTCTACCATCTGCTGAAGTCTGTGTGTCCTTCCAATGCGGGAAGATGACAGAAGTCATCATGCAGCCAGCTTGGAGAGGTTTCAAATAAGGAGTAGCCTTTGCTTCTTCCTGGATTGCACAGCTGTGGGGCTGCCCTGTGTCCCTGCTTCAGGCTGGCAGACTCTGGTCCCCTTTGTTGTGACAGACCCCATGTCCCTGTGGCTCTCTGGGTTGAGTACCCCCGAAGCAGACCTTCCTTGGGAAGAGGCAGAAGGCCCCCCTTTGCCCAGCTCTGAGCCCCAGACAGGTGTCTACACTCCGTGCTGCACTGGGGGCTTTGTGAGCAGCACTCAGGGCTCCTCGTCCATTTGCAGAGATAGGAAGGAGGTGGGAGCTCCTTATCTGTGCAATCCTACCTCGGGGTGTGTGTGAGGTTGGTCCCCTTGGGAGGGAGGGATAGAGGCTTCAGGCAGCTTCCATTCACCGGCAGCCTTTCATCCCATGTCCCAGGGCCACAGCCACCCTGTCTCCATCCCTGTTTACTGATGGGGCCGATATGGCCAAGGCAGGAGGGGTTGCAGGTTGTCCTAATCGCCTTGTCACCGGGCCGGACAGTCTCAGACACTCAGAGGATGTTGTGACTGCGCTGAATTACAATGTTTGTTGTTTCTCACTCCCAATAATTGACATTTGATAGCGACTACTGTAAAAGCGGCCGAAAGGCTGCCGCTGAGGGAGAGCAGAAACAGGAGCCAGGCTGTGGGGAGTCCCACTCGCTGCCTCTGGGCAGTCTGGGGGCAGGCGGGGGTCCTTTGCCCCTCTACCTGTTCGGTGACGGGATGTGGAGGGGCTGCGGAAACCTCCTGCGGATGTGCTGGGGGCAGTTCCCTCTGGTTCATAATTTCGGGGTATCGGTACCTCCCTGGCACTGATTTTCTGTGCAGGGGAGAAATCAGCCGCTCGGCACCGGAGTCTGGGAGCGAAAGGGTCACCAATGGGAGGGAACGGGACCCGTCTCGATCCCAGCCCGGCGTGGGGGACGGGACGCGGCCGGTGCAGAGCAATCCTGCCTGGGCCGTGAGCTCGAAAAGTGGCTTTAAAATTATTTTTGAAAAACTTTATAATACAAGCGCCGTTTCCAGGCCGCGCAAGGAACGCCAGGGACGCCAAGGTTCAGCCACTCTCTTTAATGACAACTCGCTGACCTCCGTCAGCTTGTACAGCAAAGGGTGACACGTAGGAAGGGGCGGACAGTGCATTTCCATACTAACTCACGTTTTAGTGCATAACCCTACGGGACCTGGCGGGCCGCAGTGTCCGTGTCCCTCGGCCGGGGTGGAGTGAGGGGGGTCTGTCCCCATCGTGTGCGGGCGGGAGCCGCTCCCGGCCCCGCTCCCGGCCCGCAGCCCAGGCCGGCGGTAGCAGCCTCGCAAAGGGAGACCTGGGGGCGGAGAGATGCTGAACTGGACGAGCAGCGGGAACCGTACGGGAAGTGCAAAAATTAAATGTGGATGTCAATAATAATTAGTATAGAGTAAAAGTTTAAAAAAAAAAAAGAAGAAGAAGAGAGAGAGTTGCTGGGCTTGGCTAGCTGTCGTTGGGAACAAGTCCAGCAAAATGACCGGCTGGTTTGTAGGAAGGAAGGAGAGGAATTACCAGGGTGAAGACCCAGGTGGAACGGGGAGTGAGAGGGGCCGGGAGCTGCGGGCACTGTCGGTCCTCCCCGCCGGTGCCCGCCCGGCCCCGGACGGAGCGCGGCCACCGCGCGAAATACCAAAGACCCACCCCCGTAAATGGCCACCACTCCAGTGAACTCCGCCGGGATGCTACACTGAACCGTCCTCATCCCGCAGCCTGGAAATGTCCCGAGCCCGGCTCGCAGGCGCGGCCGGAGCCCCTCCATCCCTATGGCCGTGGTCCATGGAGGGAGCGGGCCGGGTGCGGGGTCGGCTCTACCAGGCTCGGATCCCGTGCAGTGTGGAGATCCCCGCGTTCCCCTGAGGGATCGGCGTCTGCACCGAATTCAAGTCCCCTACGCTGAAGTTCATGAAGTTGTTGCCGGCCGCCGAGGGCTGCATGGGCTGCATGGAGGGGTAGTTGCAGTTGTAGTTGGCGTTGCAGGCGGGGCTGTTGTAGTTGGTGTATGCAGGGTAGGCGTTGTAGCTGTAGGGGTTAATGCTGACATTATAGGGCGAACTGTAGGGAGAAGATTCCCCCAGGCAGGGCTTCCCATCTCGCACCAGCACCGGCACTGCTATCCGCCGGGGGGGAGGGATCCCCACCATTTCCAGGGTCTGATCCTGTCTCTGCCTTTTGCATTTATACCTTCGGTTCTGGAACCAAATTTTCACTTGGGTGGAGGTGAGCTTTAGGACGTTCGCTAAATGGTCTCTCTCGGGGGCCGAGAGGTATTTCTGCTGCTTGAACCTTCTTTCCAGTTCGTAGACTTGGGCTTGAGAAAAGAGGACGCGAGGTTTCCTCCTTTTCCTCTGTCTGGGGCGCTCGGGATCTTCCAGGTCTCTTTTCTCCTGCTCCAGGCTCTTGTGCAGGGAACACAGCTCTGCAGCAAAATAAACGGGAGAAGGAAAAAGGGGAGGAAAAAAATGTGCAAAAAAATATAAAGCAATGTTCAATAAACAGTGTGCAACGTGAGCGAGCCCTGGCTCTTCCCCGGCCCTTTCCCGGCTCCGTGTGCCTCAGCCCCGCAGGCCGCCGCGGTGACCCGCTCCTGCAGCAGTGGGACCGGCCCTGCCCCGCTTTTTAAGTACCTCTTCAGCAAAGTTTCCGTCTTTTTTGTTTGTTTGAAAACAAGAATGCTCAGTGCACTGACTTGAGTCGCGACCGCCTGTGCCCCAGCCTGGACTTATCACGTAGCCTTTGTATTTATTGCTCTGGCTTTGTACCGAATCCCAGCCCGACCCACGGGCTCCAGTACGAGTTCGGCTCAGCCGAACGAATTAGAAATCCGATTTGTCACCTAATTTCTGTACAAACTCGACACCTCGCGTATCCTCCTGCAGCTCTACCCGTCCCGTTGGGTGGGAGCTCGGCCTCGGCCCCGCTCGGGGGAGGTCTCCGGCCCGGGGTCACCGGGACGCTCCCCGCAATGGGCCTGTCCCGCTCCTGCACTGCAGCGCCCGGGAGGGGATGAAGATGCTCCCGCTCTCCGCGCTCTTTCTCCCCCGGCCCCTGAGGGTGGTAGCAGCCCTGCGCTGTCCCCTCTTCCCCCGCAGCCCTGGGGACACCTGGCCGAGCGCCCAACCCCGGCTGGAGGGGTCACCGCTCCCCTGCATTCCCTTTTTCTCCTCCCAAGGACCACCGGCGAGCCCCGGACAGCAGCACTTGGCTTTACCTTTCTTGTCCGCCTTTCCCTCCTTGGCCGAGTCCATCTCCACGTAGTTTTTCACGTAGTAGGAGCCGGGGAAGGCGGCGGCTGTTTTGGCGGGGGGCGGCTCAGGCAGCTCCTCCCGCAGGTCGGGCAGGGCCGGCGGCTCAGCGCTGTAGGTCTCCTGCTTGAAGGTGGCCAGCATGCAGGAGGGCGAGGCCAGCGAGGAGAGCTCCATGGAGGCCAGGCCGCTCTGATGCTGTTCCAGGTTCAAAATATCCTTGACCGAGAAGGGTGTCGTTGTCACAGGGCTAGGAAACATTGCGGAGGAGAGCGGGGCAGCAGCCGGAGCCCAGGGTCATGGAAAAGTAGTTGAGGAGCAGCCAACCTGGAGCAGTGGTGGAGCGTGGGCTCACGGAGGGGGCACATAGCATTCCTGCGAGTAGCCTTGACTTGTGCACTGGAGGCAGGTAGGACCAGACCATAAGGGAAGGGAAGGAGGGACTAGGCAGTTTTTGGGTGACTTTAGCTTTCTATTGGCCAACATTGCAGTGATGGTATGAGAGATGCAAAGTTCCATGTCACCTAATATAGTAATACATCTCAAAAACATCTCCGCTCATTTAAAGGGGCGGCAGTGCATTTATCCAGCTTTTCTGCGCTGAGTTTTTTCATCCATTAAAAAAAAAAAAAAAAAGCGAAACGGCCTAATGTGTACAAAGGCACTATCTGACGCTATCTATCATACAGTCAGATTAAATAAACAGGCCGGGAGGAAGCCATCAACCAAATATGTGCTGATTTCATATTTTTTTCTAAGTGATGGAACGGAGGTTTCGTTTTTAGTGTTCTGCAATATCCGATCGCAGGAACTAGAGAGCGGGAGTTCACTGCTGTGTGAAGCGCGCTCAAGGGGAAATCCGCGCTTAGGGTTTATACAGATATTCTGAAGCAACACAACGCTCGCAAAATCTAGCTGATAGGAGAGAGGTCCTGAACAGCCCCTGCCTGGCTTGGGAGAGGGAAATGCCGATTGGGTTTTCTTTCCGTCTGTTTGTAAAGCTTTCAAACAAACAAACAAACAAATCAACCCCAAAATCCCAAACAAACTACCACTGTCTGGGGAAAAAAAAAAAAAGAAAAGAAAAATAAGCCAAAACAAGCGGGGATTGAAGGTGTTGCAAAATATAGAGGGGTAAGAGATGAGTAAGCCAAAGCAACCGGCCGCTGGGCTGCCGTCGGGAGGCAGGGCTGGCCCTGGTGCTAGCCGGGTCCCCGCAGCTCAGTGGGCACGGCTGCCCACGGGTCCCGAGTTCACGGGGCGGAGGTGGGTGCTCTCACTCGTTTAACTTGCATGGAGTGGCTGAAATAAACCCTAGCGGCAAAGCCGAAGGTTGAGAGGGGGCCTTACGGCGCTTTCTGGGCTCGGGGGTCGAGAAAGAAAATAAATTTTAAAGGATCTCCTTTAGCGCTCCAGCGCCCGACTGAGAGAGACACGGGATGGGCTCGGCCCGGGCGGTGGGAGCCGAGAGGAGAAACCCTGGAGGGATGCGATGAGTTTGGGGGTCCCTCGGCCGGGCCCTGCCCTGGGGAGGCAGCGGAGTCGCAGTTGTGCAAATCCTTCCTCCGCCCGCAGGAAGGGACCCTCCGAGGCGTGTGAAAATGTGAGCACCTGCCCGAAGCTGCCCTGCCCGGGCTGCTCCTGAACGGACCTGCCAGTGTGCCCCCCGCAGCTGACCCCCGAGATTTTTGTCTCTAGGCACCTTCGGGCTCGCTTTTGGGGAATTTAATTCAGGATGTTTTGGGGGGCAATGCTGTGACCCGTCCTGCTCTCTGGGGATCGCTGGCCGGAGCAGCAGCAGCAACCCCGGCGCTCGCAGCCCCTCGCTGCAGACGCCTGCGGGTGTCCTGGGAGCAGTTTTTTGGCGAACCAGATCCGGATCTTGCGATGACAGTCGGTGCGATCACTGTGAATGGGGAGGCCTGAAATATTGCCATTTAATTACGGGAGGAGGTGGCTAAGCGGCCATCTCGCTCTTCGCGGCTGCGCTTCCTGCAGAATTCCCTGGGACGCAACTCGGAGGGGATGTTCCTCGGTTGTAGGAAAAGGGGTGAAGCGCCTGGGGAAGGTAGAGGCAGCCTCAGCAGCCCGGCTCAGGAGAGGGGCCTGCGGCGGGACTTTGCCGGCTGTCTGGGGCACCCCTTGCCCTCCGCATTGCCGGCGGGTTTTCTAATCTCGTTGCCTCCTTTTTAATGCAAGCTAATGGGGGTAAGTTAGATAAATACTAAAATAGAGAAGTGATCCCGATCCCTCCCAAACCCAGAGCCGCGGCCGCAGGTTCGTCCGCCTTGGTGACATCCACCTTCCCGGCAGAAACGGCGTCCACCGCTCCCTTCCTCAATCCCGGACCCAAAACGCCCTTCCCAGGTCAGGTCGGGAGCTCGCACGGCGGTGCCTGTCCCGGCGGTTTCCCTCTGTCCGACCTGTCCCCCTGCGGGCCCGGGGCTCGTCCCGGCGGGGCGGCCCCGCCGCGGGCTCCGTGTCCGCGGGGCGGGCACTGCCGGCCGACAGTCCGCGATTCACTGAGGGTTGACGGGCTCCTTCCAGCCCCCCAGTCACACGGCGGCTCCCGATCGATGTGGGCCCGGCTGCAGAGGGTGGAAGTGATTAATTGAACGATAAGCCGGAGCTATCATTTGGAATGTCATTAATGCGTCGGGGAGACATTCATTGGAGACAGACAGCGTTATCTCCGCTTTATCTTCAACAATGCATCACTTTTAATACTGCGGTTTAGAAACAAATGGGGGCTTTAGCCTTAGCCCTTCTCTTCGTGTTTATATTTTTGGAAGAATCACAACTAGTGGGAGTCCCGGGTTCGGCCCCCTGATAAATGAACATTAGCACTTTTTAGAACTACTGTATCAACAAAAAGAGCTGCAGGGCCGCAATAATTGGTGAAAAAGCAAACACTCCGCAAAGAGAGGCCAGGTCTGCTCTGTGTCCGGCTGATTGATGAATAAGTTACTGACATACAGCAGCTCACGGACTTTCCGGGTCGGGGCTCCGCACCCATTCCTCCCCCCTTTCCCTCTTTCTCCTTTTCCCGGTGCTCTCCAGCAGCCCGCTGAAGCCAAGCTCCGACTGTCCAGCGGAGTGGACAAAGGCGACCGGTTCACCCCGCTCCGGACTCTGCTCGCAGCCCTCAGGCGCCGCACTCCGTCCCTGCCCGGCCCGGCCCGGGGGGACGTTCCCGGGTGCCCCGGCTGAGTCGCGGGGCAGAGGTGGAGGGGAGGGATCCCCGCACCTCGAGCTCTCCCGCACCGCTTTTACTTTCTGCGGGGTCGCTTTTGGCTGTGTTTAATTAACACGCAAAAAAGAGTAAAGGGAGGCAGGACCCCGGAGCAGAGCCCTGAAACACCTTCTCCAGCCCACTCCTCCAGCCGGGACCCAGGCCCTGTGGGTGTGTGGAGGGGAGACGGGCCGAGCAAAGACGTTGTTGTTTTTCTGGCTGGCAGGGAAAAGCGGGGGCGTTCTGTTCTCCCCCGGTCGCCTTCACGTTGTTTGCAAGTTGCTCTCGCTGACCCTTCAGGACTGAGCCTGCTCTGGCCTCCCATGCCCAGGAAAGCCCCTCGCAGGCGAGGGTTGTCGTCCAAACCCGCTCGCGGCTTCTCTCCGGGATTGCTAAGTGCGATTCGTGTTGGGTTTGTTGTGTTTTCTGTGCGTTTTCTTTTTTCCTAAAAAAAAAAAACAAAAAAAAACCGATACCACAAAAATTTAAAACTTTTCTTGCAGAAAACAAACAAACAAAACCAAAAAAATTCCAATCCCGCAATTAACTCCAGAGAGCACATCCTCTCTACCCCTGAGCTTTCGACACCTCGGACTGTTTAGAGAGAGATGGGACCTTTTAAAAAACTTTTCCTCTTAATCCCAGTCGGTTAAGATGTCCAGGGCCCCCTCCCGCTCTAATTCCCGGCTATCTCCCGAGGACTCTGTTTATACCTCGCCAGTAAACGCCGGAGTTTGAAACCTTGTCACTAATTGAGTGCTAACACTTCAGGTGCTATAGATTTGTTAAGAGCCAGTAGTCCAGAAATAGCCTATTAGGGTTTCCTTGCGAGAAGTTGTGCCAATCTCCCTGTTCTCATCGTGGCGGCGGGAGCCGCTGGGACCCCGGGGCCTCTGCGGGTCCCCAAGGGTTCCCCAGGGTCTTTTGGTCAGTTATTCCTTTCAAACGCTTGGAAAGGGATGCTGCAAACCGGCGAGCCCGGGCTGAATAAATCCTGCCGGCGGGATCTCTGTGCTGATGTGCGTGTCTGCCGTGGCGGGGTCCCACCGGAGGTCGCCGAAGGCGCCTGAGGGCTGCGGGGGGCGAGTGGGACCAGGGCAGGTTTTGCTTTCACCCCTCCGGAATTCTGCAGAGGAAAAAGATTTTGGAGCTGTCCAGGTGCTCCATCTAAAAACATTCTCCTTTCCTTGCTACTTTTTTTCTTTTTCCTTTTTTTTTTTTTAAATTTTTATTCTTTTCTTACCCCCCGATCCTTTCAAGCCCTAACGAGTCTCGCCTTTTCTGGCCGTCAAAAAAAGAGTTTTGACCTTGACGTGAAGCCGGCCTTGGCGAGGGGCCTCCCCTCTGCCCGGTGCTTGGGTCGGCTGTGCTGCGAGCCGGATGGGAGCTCCTCGACAGCTCCGCTCCCCGGCGGCGGGGCAGGTACCGGGCCTTCGGGGCTCCTGCCCACCGCTGTAGGATCCCAGCTCCTCCCGCCGGGCACTTAGGAGATCGTCGGGCCCCTTCCCTCCCGGTTCAGACCGGCTGGAGAGCGCGGATGAAGCCGGGCAGGCTGGTGCCAGGGCACAGCACGCGAATGCAGCAGCCAGACAGCACCGAAGTGCCTTCCCTTTACTTCAGGACAATTTATGCAAAGCCCGGAATAAAACCACTCCGGTGTTGTTTCGGCTTTGGCACCCCCAGCCCCGCTCCCCCGGCAGGCCGGGGCAGCACGGGGGGCGCGCCCGGGGGATGGCCCGGTCGCCTCTTTCCGCCTCCGTCGGGACTCGGATGGGGTAACTTAGGCAGGGGGACTTGAATAGCAAATGCCACCGTGGAGTTCCCCCTCCTGCCCTGGGCTCCGTGCCTGGAATCTGACAATTAAGCTGGTTCTTGCACCTCGGGCTCTGGAAGTGGTTTTTTCCCCCTGCTGAAGCGAAAGCTGCGAGCCGGGCCGATAAATGAAAAGCTTTAATTTTACCCTGCCTGTTACTTTTTTTTTCTGCCTGTAACTGTGCTGGGTTCGCTGGTGAAGGGAGAGAGATGGGGTTTCGCCGTCCTTCCCGCCTCCCTCTTCCCGTTCACGGGAAGCGGTCGCGTTACTAGCGCTTGTCTCAGACCCG